TATGTATGTATGTATGTATGTATGTATGTATGTATGTATGTATGTATTGTGCAAACATAAAGCTGTATTTATTGTGTAACATCTCTTGAATTTCAGATCAGTCATTCAGCCACATGTGCATGTCTTAGCAACAGAAGAGACTATCCCTCTTTTTTTAGAACCATACCTAATGATATTTATCAGAGCAAAGCATTGGCAAAGCTTGTGAAATACTTCGGCTGGACCTGGGTTGGAGCCATAAGAACGAATAGCGACTACGGAAACGGTGGCATGGCCGCTTTTATAAAAGCAGCTAAAGAGGAAGATGTGTGCATTGAATACTCATTGGCCATTTATCGAACTGATCCCAAGAAGTGGTTCTTAGAAGTTGTGGATATAATAAAGAAATCCACCTCTAAAGTAATAGTTGCATTTGCTGATGGCACAGACCTGGATATCCTCATCAAGGAGCTTCATGTTCAGAATGTAACAGGCCTTCAGTGGGTAGGCTCTGAGGGGTGGATTACTTATCGTTACATTGCCTCCCCCGTAAATTATGCTGTGGTTCAAGGGGCGGTGGGCTTTGCAGCACTCAATGCTCACATCTCTGGACTGCAGGAGTTTCTCTTTGAAAGCAAGCCATCCACCACACCTGGCAATCAGGGACTTGTTGAGCTGTGGGAGGCGTTGTTCAGCTGTCGCCTGTTTCCCGGGCCAGAGTCTCATGATCAGGATCCTACGACAGCCTGTAGTGGAATTGAGACTCTAAAGGACATTAACACATCATTCACTGATGTTTTAGATGCCAGCTTGCTGAATAATGTGTACAAGGCCGTATATGCAGTTGCACATGCAGTAAACATGCTAAAAGATTGCAAGAATGGAGAGGGGCCTTTTGAGAACAATACTTGTGCTGACATAAAAAGTGTACAACCATGGCAGGTAATTATACTAAAAAAAACATATTACTTTTGAATCAGAAATCTTATGATTATTTTGTCATTTATGGTACTTCCCTGCAGGTGCTGCACTACCTAACACAGGTCAATTTCACCACTAAGACTGGTGAAAATGTGTTCTTTGACGAAGTGGGAGACCCCGTGGCACGCTATGCACTGGTGAACTGGCAGATGGATGAGACAGGCTACATACAGTTTGAAACCATCGGTTACTATGATGCCTCTCGGCCTGACGGTCAGCAGTTTGAGATGAAAAAAGAAGTACAAGCCATCTGGGCAAGAAATAACCTCAAAGTGAGTCAGTCCAGGCTGCAGCTTTTTCTGAAGGGATTTTTAACCTTCTTTTTTTTGTTTTATCTTTGATTCTTTCATCTGTGAATTCAGTAAATGTGTATATTACAAAAGCAATGCACACATTTTATTTGTATGATCCCGAGTCTAATGTTTATGAATGTGTTTTTAATATTGTCACTCACATACAGGTGCCAAGGTCCGTTTGCAGTGAAAGCTGTTTGCCTGGAAGTCATCGGTCTTTTGTTAAGGGGAAACCTATCTGCTGTTTTGATTGCATCACCTGTGCTGTCGGGGAGTTCAGCAACACCACAAGTGAGACGGCTGGATCTTTAGCCTTTACCCTGGTGCTTGTTGTCTTTCTGCTGGGCAAAATCACTCCCGGCACCTTACTAGTTTATCTAAAGATGTGCGCCCTACACAGCTTAAATATATTTATGCTTTCAGATGCAGTGAAATGTGAGAAATGCCCGGCTGAGTACAAGTCCAATGAAGAGAGGAATAGCTGTGACATGAAAACTGTTGAATTCCTCAGCTTCACGGAATTAATGGGTGTACTGCTGGTTTCTTTCTCAGTCTTAGGCGCTTGTCTTGCAATGTCTGTAGCCGTGATATTTTTCTACCACAGGCACAGCCCGATCGTCAGAGCCAATAACTCTGAGCTGAGCTTCCTGCTGCTCTTCTCCTTGTCTCTGTGTTTCCTGTGCTCTCTGACTTTCATCGGCCGGCCCTCTGAGTGGTCCTGCATGCTGCGCCACACAGCGTTTGGCATCACTTTTGTCCTCTGTATGTCATGTGTTCTGGGAAAAACGATAGTTGTCTTAATGGCCTTCAGGGCAACACTTCCAGGCAATAATATGATGAAATGGTTTGGACCCGCGCAGCAGAGACTCAGTGTTCTGGGTTTCACTCTCGTACAGGTTTTGATTTGCATACTTTGGCTCACAATCAACCCACCTTACCCACAGAGAAATAGTAAATATTACAAAGACAAAATTATACTTGAATGTGCCCTTGGATCACCTGTTGGATTCTGGGGTGTATTGGGATATGTAGGGTTTCTTGCCATGTTGTGTTTTGCTCTTGCTTTTTTAGCAAGGAAACTGCCTGATAATTTCAATGAAGCTAAATTTATCACATTCAGCATGTTGATATTCTGGGCTGTCTGGATCACATTTATCCCAGCATATGTCAGTTCTCCTGGGAAGTTCACTGTGGCTGTGGAGATATTTGCTATTCTGGCATCAAGTTACGGAATGCTGGGTTGTATTTTTTTGCCCAAGTGCTACATCATCCTACTGAAACCTGAAAAGAATACAAAGAAACATTTGATGGGTAAAGGTACCACCAGAGCTCTTTGAGATATTCATAAACATGAAAAAAGTCATTTTCAATGTAATGTTTTTTTTTCATGTCTATGCTGTTTAGATATTCAAAATATTGTCAATTCTGAGAAAATGCGTAGTGACATTGTAACCTATGGACAAAATGCATAAATAAAGAAAAAAAATTCATTTAAAGAGAACAAAACGAAAAACGTTTTTTTTTCTTATTTTAAATTTTTTTGTCGTTTTGGCTCTTAATTTTTTTTAAGATAATCTGCATATGCAATATGTACTTTTACCATGTAAAAAAAATTTAGAGGGCAATGGGAACACTTATGAATGAGACCTAGAGGAGATCCATCCATCCAGAAACTGACAAAAATATAAACATCTTACTTATACTGAAACACAGTGAGTTCCTCTAAAGCAGTATTCTACAAAATAAAAAAATAAATGTACTCATAAATACAGCTAAAGTAACTTTAACGGGGTAAATAAATCAATCATTGTTGAGTTTTTGAGTTTGAACTAACTCTCAACAGTCAAGTATATATTCTAGAGCACAGAACAAAAAAAATTTTCATGAATGTAATACCATTGGTCTTCCTATACACATTTGTGAAAATAACGGAAACATATTTGTAAATTTACTAACAAAATTAATGCATGTACGCCTAAGCTTCACATAAAGGAATTATTTCTTAATAAATACATGTATATTTCTACATCCTCTGTGAAAAAACTTGAGACCTGAGTAATTTGGATAAATTAAGAGATTACATCTGCAAATCACAACTGTAATTGAAAGATTAAAGACTATTTAAACCCAAATCTAAATGAGCTATGACTGTCATCAGTAAAAGTCATATTGATTTAAAGTTTTTGCTCACATTAACAACAAATCCATTAAAACGATTCTTGTGACAATTATCTTCCTCACATTCAATCTTTTAGCATCACACAGACCAATCACCAGTGGGGTTTTTTTTTACCATTAGCTGTTCCAGAACTCATAAATACCAGCTCAAGTGACCGATTTAGATTAAGAGTACATGTGATGCCTCCCGTGGTTTGAGTTTTTCCGACAGTATGGCACTGACACAGAAGTGGCCAGAGCAGGGTTGTGCACTCTTACACGTATTGTTGATGGTGAATTTCTCTCAGACTAAAGAGCTAGTTTGCAGGCATAGGGGGGATCCTGAGAGCCCACAGCTGTATAAAGATGGAGACATTATACTGGGAGGAATATTCTCTTTCCACAGCAGCTGGGAGAACAAACAGAATACCTACATGCAAAAACCTCTAGCCCTGCAATGCACCAGGTAAATTATTTTAAAAAAAGAACCATGTATAACTGCTTTTCATGCATTTTGGTGATCATTATTACCTTTGTTTATATGTTTACTATTCTGTTGGTTTTGTTTTATTTGTTTCATGTGCTAACAACTTTTAACTGTCCAAATCCAGTTTGAATTTCAGAGAGTTCCAGTTTGCTCAAGCTATGCTTTTTGCCATTGAAGAAATTAACAACAGTACGGCACTGCTGCCGGGAATCTCTCTGGGCTACAACATTTATGATACCTGTGGTTCTATTGCCAGAAGTGTAAAAGTTGCACTTTCCTTAACAAATGGCATTGATAAAATATCTTCTATATCTGAGAGATCATGCATCAGACTTGCAAAGGTTCAGGCTATAATGGGTGAAACGTCCTCCTCTCCTAGCACAGCTATTGCTACCGTCATTGGACCATTTCACATCCCATTGGTGGGTATGACTAAGAAAAATTAGCTATTTACTACCTTATTAGTAGTCTGAATTTGTCTGAAATTATAATCTATTATGTACTTATATTAATTTTCTTTTAGATCAGCCACTTTTCTACATGTGCCTGCCTGAGTGATAAAACCAAGTACCCATCATTCCTCAGAACAGTACCTAGTGACTATTACCAGAGCAGAGCCTTGGCTCAGTTGGTCAAACATTTTGGCTGGACTTGGGTTGGAGCCGTGAGAACCAATGATGATTACGGCAATAACGGCATGGCTACATTCACAGAAACTGCCCAGCAGCTGGGCATCTGTCTGGAATATTCTGAGTCTTTCTTTAGAACAGATCCATCAGAAAAAATACAAAAAGTTATTGAAACGATCAAGTCTTCAACCTCAAAGGTCATCATTGCATTTCTCTCACACATGGACATGGATGTTCTTATTCATGAGCTGTCCAACCACAACTTAACTGGGTATCAGTGGGTTGGCAGCGAGTCCTGGATTTTTGACTCTCAAATTGCAGCGGTGGATAAGAATCACATCCTGGATGGGGCCATAGGTCTTTCCATTCCTAATGCACATGTCAGCGGCCTGAGAGAATTCATGTTTGACGTGAAGCCACTCATTTCATCTAATAATGACTTGTTTATAAAGTTCTGGGAAGCACTGTTCAGTTGTAAGTTCCAACAGTCAAAACCCACAGAAGTTGAGAGAGGCTGCACAGGACGTGAGGAGCTGGCTGGAGTGCAGAACAGCTTCACTGACATGTCACTTATGCCTATTTTCAATAACGTCTATAAGGGAGTGTATGCAGTGGCCCATGCTCTTCATGATATTCTAAGGTGCAACAAAACATGTGATGACAGTGTGCACCTTGATCCCTCCACGGTGAGCTTCATATCTACAATGATTATTAAACTTTTTAAATGCTAAAATGCAAAATAATTGAATTTTCAGACTGTTATGTTGAACCAACATTCCCACATAATGTTCATACGAGGATTCACTGAATTATCATCCATTGTTTTTAGATTTTGCAGCATATTCGAAAGACTAACTTCAAAACAAAAGAAGGAGATGAAGTCTATTTTAATGAGAATGGAGATCCTCCAGCAAAGTATGAAATTATAAACTGGCAACCAAGAGAAAACAATATTGTAGAATTTGTCACAGTTGGTCTTTATGATACATCGTTACCTGAAGACAGACAACTAAATCTGCTAGATATGCCTTTAATTTGGACACAGAATTCAATGAAGGTAAAGAAATTTTTTTTTAAAGTTTTTTTTTAACATTATAAGTCAATTAAGCTTGTTAGTAATGACGCTATAAATGTGTTGTACTCTGTTCATGCAGGTGCCTGTGTCAGTTTGCAGTGAGAATTGTCCCCCAGGAACAAGAAAAGTTCTCCAAAAAGGAAAACCTGTTTGCTGTTATGACTGTATAAGATGTGCGGAAGGAGAGATGAGCAACACGACAGGTTTAGTAACAAAACATTCAAGCTTTTACACTTCACTGATTCTCTAAGTAAAAGTGGCATGACTAAACACCAATCTAAGCGATGGGAAACTGAAATCGTCATTGCTGCTTTGATTAAATCATATCATTTATAACTGCTGCTTTTTATGCACTGTACCTAACAATAATTTTATACGGTGGTCTTGAATATGGACGTTCTCTTTCTGTTTGCTTCAGTAGATTTAGGAAGGAACGACAGTTTGGTCACTCCACAACTGTTGGCCATTGCATTATTTAAGCTCAGGACATTTAAAGGTTTGCCATGTCATGCAACCTGTTAAATTCTTGAAAAGGGAAAAGCACGGCGGTGCTTTTAAAGAGGATGTTACTGAACTTTTGTGTTTTAAGAATCGGGGCCACATGTGCTTAAAAACATCTGTTCATGCAATCACAGCAGTGCAATGTGCTTTCATCAGTCAGGGCACCATTTACCCTGTGTAAAGCATCGAAAATGAAAATCTAACATATGCCTTTGTGTTATTTTGTAGATTCTATCACCTGTGTGAGATGCCCTCCTGAATACTGGTCAAATGATAGGAGAGATGCCTGCATAAAGAAGGAGGCTGTGTTTCTGTCATATGAAGAAATCATGGGAACGCTGCTCACTGCTGCCTCTTTGGTTGGAACATGCATGACGGCTATTGTAACATTTATTTTCTTCAGATATAGGAAAACTCCTTTGGTGAGAGCAAACAACTCTGAGCTGAGCTTCCTGCTGCTTTTCTCTCTGACTCTGTGTTTCCTGTGTTCTCTGACCTTCATCGGCCGGCCCTCTGATTGGTCCTGCATGCTGCGCCACACAGCGTTTGGCATCACCTTTGTCCTCTGTATCTCCTGTGTACTTGGGAGAACAATGGTTGTTTTAATGGCCTTCAAAGCGAGGCTTCCGGGCAGTAATGTGATGAAATGGTTTGGGCCCACCCAGCAGAGACTCAGCGTTCTGGGTTTCACTCTCATACAAGTCATCATATGCATCATCTGGCTGGCCATTTCCCCTCCTTTTCCATATCAGAACTTTAAGGAATTCAAGGATAAAATCATCTTAGAATGTGCTCTTGGTTCTCCTGTAGGTTACTGGGCTGTGCTTGGCTATATAGGACTTCTGGCCATCTTATGTTTTATTTTTGCTTTTCTGGCTCGAAAACTGCCGGACAATTTCAACGAAGCCAAATTCATCACCTTCAGCATGCTGATATTCTGTGCAGTATGGATCACTTTCATCCCGGCCTATGTCAGCTCTCCTGGGAAGTTCAGTGTGGCAGTAGAAATCTTTGCTATTCTCGCATCCAGTTTTGGACTTCTGACTTGTATCTTTATCCCAAAATGTTACATTATTTTACTGAAACCAGAAAAGAATTCAAAAAAGCATATTATGGGTAAGGGGCCATCAAAATAATGTTGAACACAAAACGAAGTGCAAAGCAGTCATTTTAAAATGACCATTCGCTGAAAGTCAACCTTTACCCTAATTAGCACATCTTTAAGGTGTTTCACAAGTGTTCCAAAACACATTATGAGGAACATCTGCTGACAATGCGACGCAGTAATCCACTTTGAAAGTTGAACTTAAATTTACATTTAATGATAGCGATATTGCCTTATATTACCTCCTGCTAGAAATGCCAGGAAATGCACCAAAAAAGCTGCAAAAGGATAAAATAACAAAACCAAAATGAATTAATATGTGTATTGGGTTTTTTATTTGAATTGTATGCCCAATTCTAATGTAGTTATTTGTCTGTATGCCTTGCCAGTTTGTGACATATGTAGTTTAGGTGATAATAAACTGAAAAAAATATTATTTCCATGTAATTTTACAACAGATACAGTCAACACTTAGAAGCCCTGATTTATGGTCCAAATACAGAATAAATACTTCAAGTGTTTGCATGATAATCATTATATATCCATCCATCCATCCATTTTCCATACCGCTTTTGAGAAAAAGGTTACGGTGGAGCTGGAGGAGCAGTATAAACCCTGGACTGGTGGCCACTCCATTGCAAATCATTATATATGTGGATATTTGATTTCATGATACAGTAAATTATTATGGGTATGAATATGTTATTACTTTTCAGCCTCAGTTCATGTGGATTTCACAAAAACTACCATACATATTCCAGGGTTTACAATGTGCCTCTTAGTGAGGGGATGTCTTTAATAACCAATCTAACAAATGGGAGATGTCTACTTCTCTGTTTGTACTCCTTTTTACTCACATAATAAATAAATTAATGATTAAAAGAGTTTTAGAATTGTTCAGTTCATCTTCAAATCCTGAAATTATCTTGCCTGTGCATAGATGTCAGACTTTTTTATCTACAAGGTCACCTCCTGAGCACATATGCCGATAGACAGCAACCAGCTTTTTTCATAATTAATCATTTGTTTTTTTAAATCTCCGCTTGATTGTTAAATTGGCAATAAATGGTAATGTGCAACTTTTTGTTACTGTCGCTGCCCTCAGTTTTATTTTTTCTATAATGCCTAATCATACAAATATTACAATGTGAAATAAGCTAGATTTAAACTACTATTTTATTTGGCAAACCTTGTTTTTTTGCCCCACCTTGTAGGTCCATAGAGATGCATCTTCACTTTTTTTCCTTTTGTCTTATGATACCTTTTGCTCCTCCTAATTGAATAAAACTGGATGAATATCAGTATATGCCATACATTTCATTAAGGTCAATGAGATGCCACCCAGTGATTTATGTCTTACTGAAAGCATGACGTGCACAAGGTGGTGGCCAGAGCAGGGTTGTGTACTTTTACAACTGTTGTTGTTAGTGTCTTTCTCTCAAACTAAGGAGGTAGTATGCCGGCGGAGGGGGGATCCTGAGAGCCCTCAGCTGTCTAAAGAAGGAGATATTATATTGGGAGGAATTTTCTCTTTCCACAGCAACTGGGAGAATAAACAGAATACCTACGTGAAAAAACCTCTGGCCCTGCAATGCACCAGGTAATTTCTTTTAAAAGAAACCTGTGTCGTTTTGCTTACGTTACCTGTATATATTTTATGGATATATTACATGCTTCCATATAATGTACCATTATATTAATTTCAAGCTGTTTTTTTTCTGCCAACAACTTTTAACTGTGCAAATGTAGTTTGAATTTCAGAGAGTTCCAGTTTGCTCAAGCTATGCTTTTTGCCATTGAAGAAATTAACAACAGTACGGAACTGCTGCCGGGAATCTCTCTGGGCTACAACATTTATGACACTTGCAGTTCTATTGCAAGAAGTTTAAAAGTTGCACTTGCTCTAACCAATGGGATTGATAATGTATCTTCAACATCTGAGGTGCCATGTAAGAGACCTGCAAAGGTTCAGGCCATCATGGGCGAAACGTCCTCCTCTCCTAGCACAGCTACAGCCTCTATCATCGGACCATTCCATATACCATTGGTGGGTATGATTAATTCATATGGAAATTATGTATGTATTTGATTTTGCTATTCATCTTTTTACCAACATATTCCAATTTTACTTTTAGATCAGCCACTTTTCTACATGTGCTTGCCTGAGTGATAAAACCAAGTACCCATCTTTCCTCAGAACAGTACCTAGTGACTATTACCAGAGCAGAGCCTTGGCTCAGTTGGTCAAACATTTTGGCTGGACTTGGGTTGGAGCCGTGAGAACCAATGATGATTACGGCAATAACGGCATGGCTACATTCATAGAAACTGCCCAGCAGCTGGGCATCTGTCTGGAATATTCTGTGTCTGTTTTTAGAACAGATCCATCAGAAAAAATACAAAAAGTTATTGATATTATGAAAGCATCATCTTCAAAGGTCATCGTTGCATTCCTCTCCCACAAAGAAATGGATGTTCTTATTCATGAGCTGTCCAACCACAACCTAACTGGGTATCAGTGGGTTGGCAGCGAGTCCTGGATCTTTGACTCTCAAATTGCGACAGCAGACATGAATCACATCCTGGATGGAGCCATAGGTCTTT